CGGGCCCCCCCCCGCCGCCCCCCCAGCTGCTCTGCCCCAGGTGTCCCCAAGTCAGCCACTGCTGATACTGATCAGCGGCTGACTCCAGAAAGCCAGAGGCAGAGCTGCTCTGTCTCGGGCTTCCTGGAGTCAGCCGCTGGTCAATTTCATCAGTGGCTGAATCCGGGACAACTGGGGTGCTGCCGGGTTGGTCCTGCAGCCCCGAGGGGCAGCGCTACTGGACCTACCTGGCAGCACTCCAGCTGTTCTTCACCCTGCTTCCCGGATTCAGCGCTGGTCAGTTTTAGCAGCAGCTGAATTGGGGAAGCTGGGGGCAGAGCAGCTCCAATGATCCGGCTGCCCAGAGCACTTCCGGGTTCCTGATGGTGCCGGACCATCAGGAGTGCCGGACCATCAGATGCCGGACCATCGGAGTTTTACTGTATTTGGAATTGAAAGTGAAACTGAACAGACTAACATAAATGAGTTAAGCAAGAGGAGCAGAATCACTTGGTGATTATCTGTTCTGTTCATTCCTTCTGACGCAGCGGTTCTTAATATTTCAACATTTCCAGGCCGCCCTACCCCTTTCAGAAGTCAGATTGTCTCGCGTACCCCCCAAGTTTCATCTTATTTAAAAACCACTTGCTTACAAAATCAAACATAAAAATACAAACATGTTATAGCATACTATTATTGAAAAATTGCTTACTGTCACATTTTTATTGTGTAATTATAAAATAAATCAATTGGAATATAAATATTGTACTTGCATTTTAGTGTATAATATGTAGATGAATATAAACAAGTGAATTTTCTGTATGAAATTCTAGTTTGTACTGACTTCAGTAGTGTTTTTTCTGAAGTGTTGTGGAACAAGGCAAATATCTAAATGAGTTGGTACACTTTCCAGAACACTTCTGTGTACCCACAAAGATATAGTTACCTTGGTTTAGAATCACTGCTCTATAGCACCTGGCATTGGCTACTGTTGGAAGACAGGTTACTGAACTAGATGGACCTTTGGTGTGATCCAGTATAGCTGTTATGTTTGGTCCAACATAAGAATGGCCGTACTGGACCAAAGGTCCATCTAGTTCAGTAGCCTGTCTGCCAACAGTGGCCAGCGCCAAATGCCCCAGAGGGGGTGAACCGAAGACAATGGTCAAGCGATTTGTCTCGTGCCATCCATCTCCAGCCTCTGACAAACGGAGGCCAGGGACATCATTCCTACCCTCTGGCTAATAGCCTTTTATGGAACTAATCTCCATGAATTTATCTAGCTTCTCTTTAAACTCTGTTATAGTTCTAGCCTTCACAGCCTCCTCTGGCAAGGAGTTCAACAGGTTCACTATGTGCTATGTGAAGAAGAACTTTCGCTTATTAGTTTTATACGTGCTACCCATTAATTTCATTTGGTGTCCTCTAGTCCTTATATTATGGGAACTAATGAATAACTTTTCTTTATTCACCCTGTCTACACCATGATTTTATGTACCTCTATCATATCCCCCCTCAGTGTCCTCTTTTCCAAACTGAAAAGTCCCAGTCGCTTTAGCCTCTCTTCATATGGGACCTGTTCCAAATCCCTAATCATTTTAGTTGCCCTTTTCTGAACCCTTTCCAAGGCCAAAATATCTCTTTTGAGGTGAGGAGACCACATTTGTACACAGTATTCAAGATGTGGGCGTACCATATTTTTATACAGGGGCAGTAAGATAGTCTGTGTTTTATTTTCTATCCCTTTCTGAATAATTCCTAACGTTCTACTTACCTTTTTGACCTCCGCTGCACACTGTGTGGAAGTTTTCAGAGAACTGTCCACAATAACTCCAAGATCTCTTTCCTGATTTGTAATAGCCAAATTAGCCCCCATCATACTATATGTATAGTTGGGGTTATTTTTTCCAAAGTGCATTACTTTACACTTATCCGCATTAAACTTCATTTGCCATTTTGTTGCCCAATCATTCTGTTTTGTGAGATCTTTTTGAAGTACTTCACAGTCTGCTTCTGTTTTGACTATCTTGAACAGTTTAGTATCAACCACAAACTTAACTACCTCACTGCTTGCCCCTTTCTCTAGATCATTTATGAATAAGTTGAATAGGATTGGTCCTAGTACTGACCTTTGGGGGACACCACTAGTGACCCTTCTCAATTCTGAAAATTTACCATTTATTCCTATTCTTTGTTTCCTGTCTTTTAATCGGTTCTCAGTCCATGAAAGGACTTTCTGAATATCTTGAATATCTTTCTGAATGTCTTATCTGAAAATCTGAATGTCTTATTCCATGACAATGTAATTTACACAAGAGCCTTTGGTGAGGGACTTTGTCAAAGACTTTCTGAAAATCTAAGTATACTATAGCTACTGGATCCCCTTTATCCACATGCTTGTTAACCCCTTCAAAGAACTCTAGTAGATTAGTAAGACATTTCCCTTTACAGAAACCATGTTGACTTTTGCCCAACAAATTATGTTTTTCTACCTGCCTGGCAATGTTATTCTTAACTATTGTTTCGACTGATTTGCTGGTACCAACGTTAGACTTACTGGTCTGTAATTGCCAGGATCACCTCTAGAGCCCTTTTTAAATATTGGTGTCACATTAGCTATGTTCCAGTCAGTAGGTACGGAAGCCAATTTCAAGGATAGATTACAAACCACAGTTAACAGTTTTGCAATTTCCCATTTGAGTTCTTTTAGAACCCTTGGGTGAATGCCATACAGTCCCGGTGATTTGTTAACGTTAAGGTTATAATATTTGCCTAGTTTTACAACAAGCTACAGAAAAAACACTAATGAGTCTGTTCAAACTAAAGATTTGATTTACAATCAAAGCCCAACATGTTTAAAAAGAAAAATTGTAATGGAGGAGGAAAAGTACTTAAAGATTAAAAGGTTTCCTTTCCCCTGCCCCACAAATTCTTGGTTTTTGAGTTTAGGCAAACAGTGTTTAATGTGGCAAATAGGGATGTCAACGTGTAGATGACCACACGCATTCCCCCTCCCCCCTGTGCTACTGCTGCTGCTTCTCTATCAGAGACATCAGCATGGAAGGTGATGGAGGCAGGTGGAAGCCGATATGTCTGCTTTCTGCGCGTGCTGGCTCCATGGCCCCACCTTCCCCCATACCACCCCACTGCCTATTGCCCTATGCTGCTGCCTCTAATAAAGAGATAGCAGTGCAGGGGGCAGCAGCCCCTGTCTAGGGGAGATCTGATCTCCTGGACCCAGTGCAAGCTGGAACTGAGCCAGGCTTCCTGCCTGCCCAGGTCCTAATACACTTTAAATTCAGAGCCGCAGCAGGGGTAGATCCCGGACTCGTCGCAAGCCAGGACTGAGCCAGGCTGCCGGCCAGCCTGCTAAAAAATGTACTGGTAGGGCAGGGAGGGAAATGTGTGTAGCCTATATAATTAACGTATAAGCACATGAGATCTTTTATAGGGGAAAGGCAGTATGCCACATTTATTGAGAATACAACAGTTGCATATGCTTTTCCATCACACACACACACACAATCCCGCCAGACGATGTCATAGTTACCAGTCCAGATTCTGCATAGTCTAGTGACCACCTAGATTGAACATAGGGGGAGCAGGGCCTTTGTTGGTCGATCGATCCGATGCTCCTTTGGATTTGTTGGCAAGATGAACCCAAAGTTCCATAGCACAGCATCCTGATTTTATAATCCTTTTCTCTGTTGAAATCAGTGTATTCTGCTGTGTCATTCTGTGACCGGAATGTTATCTTGTTGTTGTCAATCATTCCCAAACATCTCTTGAAGGTTCATTCTGTCCTGGATTGTTAATGAGTTGTTTTTAGGGGTGCCCGCCCTTCACCTTTAGAGCCGTCAATTCTGCCAATCTGATCCGTTCTTGACCGTGGGTACACACTGATGGTTTCTCTGCTCTTCACAGACTGTCTTTTACAGTTTGTCTTCACCCCATATTCTCCCTCTTCTCTCTTGACCAGCTGGCTCTAATGATGACCTTCACACTGTATCTCATTCATACAAACAGTCTCTCACGCAGAATCCTTCAAAGGTAAACAATACTGTTCTATATTAAGCAAAATCAAAACAATTCATATTGAAGGCCCGGGCCTTCGATATTTCTAATCTCATTAACATAGACAAAATATGAGATCCTGTCTCTTTACTTACTAAAACTTTACAACAAGGAAATATAGGAGATATATACTCAAATAAAGGATTTGACTTACTCCAATATTAAATATGATTATATATTACCTTATATTACTACATTACTAAACCTCAAATACAAATAAGGAAGAATAAAACTTTCAATCCTAACACTAGGTGTTCAGGATAAGAGAAGTCTTCTTTCTTAGGTCACAAATCATCTCTTTCTGTCTCCTCCCTCCTCTTCCTCCTCTGCTGATGCCCTTCTTTTCTAGCCCTTATCACAGAGATGTCACATGTCCCCAAATTATGCCTTTCTGGCATTATATAACTAATTTTTCCTATGATAATTTTGTGTGGAATAACTAAGATCCACAGTCTGAAGTTGACATTACTGGTAATTATTAACTTCTCAGTAGGCCTCTTGAGGGTCATCATGTTTCAGGGCAATTTACACCTAGGTCATGTTGTGTACTTTTTCTACATAATTTGATCAATCATCATTGTCAGTTTACTCAGAATCCCCAGTGATAGTCACAGTTCAACAGTTTTCCTGGCCTGATACTAAAAGAACTCTGTTCACAGAATCCTTTGGTGGATGCAGGGTTTGAGGTTACCAGACTTAACATCGGCACCACCCCAACAAATGGCTTGTCCTCCTTTCATGGTATTCTTTCTGGAGAGGGTAATCCTCAGACTGTGTCTGAAGTTTACCCCTAAAGCTTTTTGTAAGAACCAGCTCATTCAGCCTCCAAGGTTTTACCCTAAATTTCACGTGGATAACAGAGGCCATCATCCGACATTCCATGTGAGAAGGGACAGAAGAAAGGCCTTCAGGAAATCCTGGAGACTCTTCCTCTCCTTTGAGGATACATAAAAAGGTACAGCTATTTCATCTCAGCAGTTCTTCAAGTGGGTCTCTGCTGCTACATCAAGCTCTGCTATCAATTGCCTAAGGAAATTCCCCCATTGTCAATACATATGCACTCCATGAGGTCAGTCTTCTTGTCCCTTATACTTTTCATTATCCCTAATTAGACATCTTTAGAACAGCTATCTGCTCCTACCTTTGTTGTCCATGCTGCTATCTTGGGTGATTCAACTACAGAAGCCCAGTTCAGAGCTGTCATCCATTATCAGATATATCTCCGAAGTCTTATTGTCCAGTGGTAGGTTCTGCTCAGGAATCATTTATAATGGAACACGCATAGGGATGCTTCAAAGAAGAAGAAGAATTTATTCAGCCTGTGTGGTAATGATTATTTTTTTGAGATGTACCATGACTCACCCTCCTCATCCTCTGCTTCAGAGTTTTGCTAATGAACTCTGTAGCAGAGAGGGAATTGAGAGAGAAATGCCTGCACATGCTGGCTAACGTTGTGGTGGGTAAAGAGCTGCATATGCACCTGCTATTGAAATTTTCCAACAGCGCAGGAGCACATGGACACCTAATGTGGAAAATCCAAAGGGACATACACCTTGAAGAATCATTGTTACTGCACTAAGTGGTAACTTCTTCTTAAGTGGTTATGACCAAAAGTTTTCCTATGGAGACTAGGTATGTTTAAATACTTCTGGCTGAATTGGGGCCAGAATAAAGAAGATCTGGCAAGACTGAACCCTAAAAACAGAAATGGATATAACACACAACAGAATAGGAAGAACAGACTAGGAAGAACAGAAGATTGATTTTATGGTATGAATGGTTCACAGGACAATTGAGCATATATAAAAGGGACCAGTCTGATAAAATTGGATGGAATAAAGAGATATGATGTAGTAGGATTATAGAGAGGGCGATGTTAGTTGGCATAGTGTTGTGAAGTATTGCAAGGACATAATGCAGAAAGATTCTGTAAGACAGCAAGAGATCTATGAACGGGGGAAATCATGATCAGGAGAGGCAAATAACAGTGACAGCTACATTTGGATAGTCTGGAGAGGCTAAATGTGAGCATAAAGAAAGCCTTGAAGGATTTTGTAATAGCTGAGGCAAGAGAGTCCCAAGGCATGAACTTGGATGATTCTGAGAGAAGAGGCTAACTAGTTTTACAGGTGTTGCAGAAGAAATAATGCGATCTAGTGAAGGATTGGGGGATTGCAGGGAGAGAGAACACACTAAGGCTAAGCAGATAATAGGGCTGTCAGTTCATGTTTCTTAACTTGAATTTCTTAAAAAATGTGACTAGCTTTTCAGTCTGTGCTCTTCAGCGTTTTTAGGGTCTCCTCCCTGTTTTTCCTTGTAATTGTGTAGGGTATGACATTCTTTGTGTTAATACTGATGTTAGAGGAAATATTTAGCTTGGCCTTGATTTCAAAGGAGGAGTTATGCTGTGCATGTCTCTAGTTGTTACAAATTTTAGATAGGTAGAGGGACTGAGTATTCTTTTCCGGGTTCTTTGTTTAGTGAAGGGCTGTGGCTGGTAGGAGATTTTATATACTACCCTTGTGCTGCAGTTTCTTCTAAATTTGCATTTGGCTTCTTTTCCTTTGTTTTATTTACATGTATTTTTTTGAGTGTGTTTGTCTTTCTATAGCTTATTTTTATTTATTCTTAATGGCACTTCCCGTCAGAATTAGTGTTACTTCTGGTAAAGCTTTGAAGTGTTTCAGAGGTATGTGCTTTCTATTTACTTTTAAATATGTTTTTCTCTTGGGAGTTTTTTGTTTTGGTTGGTTGGTTTGTTGAGTTTTATATTTTGTGATTATAGTAAGTATTAGTACTCTGAGATAAACAGTGCTTGATGTGGTGATCACTGGAAGGAGACTTATATTACACAATAGAATAAGTCTTTTTCCTTTTAATTTTTGTCTTATATTTTAAATATGAAATTCATAGGAGATAAAACAGAAACGTATAGATTAGTATTTCGTTTCTTTTTTGGACTTAAGTTTGTGGTGTACTTAATATTCTGGTGTTCTTCTCTATATACACTTTTTAAATATTGAAAATTAGCTGGTGAAAGTTACAAAAATCTGTTTTAACAAGATTTTGGTTATATTTTAAATGTTTGAGTGCAGTATCAGTTCCTTACAAGAAAACTCTAGTGTAACAATGAAAAGTGAATTTAATCCGTACATCTAAATGCAACATAAGGATATACATCACATACTGGGTCTTGGACCGGCTTTTGCTTGATAGCTTTCTGCAGGCTACAAGTATGAGGAAACTATTCCACATTATTAGTCATACTTTCTTCAATATGCACAGTGCAGCGCTCCAACAGACACCCCAGGGTTAGGCTCCTATTTTCTTAGAAAGTGTGGTTTGTTTATTCCAAAATAAGTTCATAATTATTTGCTATTATATTGAAATTCTAAATAACTTTTCATTATTAACATTCAGAAATGTTTTTGTTTCGAAGTGATAAAGATTTTTATGCCACTAAGAAGTTTTTAATAAAAATATTAGGTTTTGATGCTTCAAACACTTATGCATATGTTTAACTTTTAACTACATAAGAAGGTCCATGGGACTATTCATATGAGTACTTGTTTACATATTTGCAGGATCATGGTCATAATTTTCATGGGTTTTTTTGCCCACTGATAGCATTTGTATTAAATTCATATAAAAGATATCACTAATGTGTAATATAGTCATACGTTTTTAAATGGTTTTAAATTATCGTAGGAACGACTAACTGAGTAATTATCACAAAATTAAGAAGTGTAAAGTACTACAATTGATTACAAGAGTTTGACTTGAGTCAACTTACTTGCTCTGGAGACAATGATAGGTATACTTCGTGAACATTTGTTTAATAAATTCAGAGTTGGAATCGAGATACTACTGCCTCACAGATTACTGGGTTTCTCGGAGAGGGGCTTAGCAAAGATGAGTTGAACAATAAATAGTCCTGTGGCTATTGAGCCTCTGAAACTTTTAGGTGTTTGCATATTTTATAGCTACAGAGCTTAGTATTGGCCTGAGTGAAAGATGTGCAGTCCTAAAGCTAATCAAGGATAAAACTTTTAGAAGTCCCTTGTAATTTTGGGAGCCCAGTTAGAGGCATCTTAAGAATGCTTAATTTTCAGAAGGCTGCTGTTTAACACTTGCAGGAATTTTTACACACTAAATGATGTCTTAAGTTGTGCACCCGAAACCATTAATCACTTTTTAGAAAATTGGAATTAAATTGCAGTGGAGTAATTATCCTTTTAAAGAAAAAATAATAGATGTCTTGTACAGTTGCCTGATATGATGTACGAGAGAGGAAGAAACTTTGTCATGAATTTTCCTGCCTGTAGAACATTATAGCATAGACTGGCATAAGTGGAGAAAATGACTTACTTAAATTGGAGGATTTCTTTTTCCTCTTAATATAAAGCCAGTGTTTTCAACTGAATGAGTCTTTCAGTAAAGTATTCTTTAAGTAGTGTGGCTAAATAATGCGAATTGAAATGAAAATATAATAAGATCCACATTGATACTGTAATCCTTTTTAAAAAGTTAGACAATGTCAACAAATTTTTCAAAATGAAATAATTTTAGCTTTTTGCTGATATAATTTCTGTATAGTACATTATGATTGTTTTTAAACAGTTATATGATTTTTCCAGTAAGGAAGAAATTGTGACACAAATTTCCAGAGTAAATAGAGTAAAGAAATAAGTTACTTTTTTATTAACTTTTTTCAGTTTCGTTAATCTAAGAAATGATTTGTAACTGGAGATTTTTGAGTTGGTGTTCTTTTAAATTAATTTTATGTTTGGTTGGTTCAAAATTATATTTCATATAACAGGAGAGAATCACCAAAATAAAGGAAAACCAAAGAACAAAACCTGTGATTCTGAAAAGGCAAGGTGAGAAATATATATTTTGCCATTTGAGTCCTTTTATATGGTAAAAACATTTGAAACAACATTCATGAAACTTTTATTGTTCTTATTTTTATATACTCTTGGAAGGACAAATTTTCATATGTGGAAGGCAGTTTGGTATATTAATTAATAACCCTCATTGACATTTGGAGATTTAAACGTTTTGCATTCTTCTTGCTAAATAAGCTGTTGATATTTTTTTTTAAATGTTTGATCGGCAAAGGCTGTTATTACATTTTTTGATTCTGTGTAGAAGCTTATAATAATGAATTCAGTATCACAGTTTTTTCAATAACAATACGTTATTGTTGTGAGCGCAAGGTTATGATTTCCTGGGAGAGTAAAAAAGAAAAACTAAACTGTAGAAGGAAGAGCCACAATTAAATATTAGCTCCTCAGTGAGATATGGAACACAGAAAAACAAGACCAGATAAGCATCTTTAATATAAAAATATTCTCATTGTTAAATTTGCTGTTTTCTTTCAACATTTTTTCTCAAGATAATACGAATCTAAAATCATGTCCCAGAATTATTCATTAAAACTTGTAATAAGTGAATGCTCTAAATGAGTTTGCTACTTCTCAGGGCATAGAAGTTACTTGCCTTTTTTACCAGTCTTTTTCAAAGTAATTGCAGAATTGCTAATTATAATGCATTGCTCCTGGTTCAAAGGTATTGTAACTCAAAAGTGTTATAATCACCAGGGAAATGTCTATAGACAAATGTCTAAAAATAGTGTGAATATGAGAGAGAATACAAATAAATCCAAATCACACCTAGTAAAACAATCTTGTAGTTGTATAGCTATTTACTTCTGCTGAAAGTGTTTCTGGATACAGTAAATACATTACTGAAATTAACTTCATGCAATCATATGTGGGCTGTAGAATTTTTGAAATTTATATTCAGACTGTCAGTTTGGCTCTGAGATAATTACATGTGTGATCAAAGATAGGTATTTCAAGATCTTTTCATAGAAAACTGTCCAGTCAAAGGGAAAAAAAATTGTTTGCTTTTCAGCTATAACATTCTTTATCACAGTAGTTCTAATTCATCAGTTTTTAAGACGAAAAAATGATTTGCAAGCTACTGGCAGCAGAGAGCATAATTTGTTACTCTCACTACCTGACATAAATTATGCTTTGGTACAATTGGGTAATTAGGGCTTCCTTTGCCCTGTAGAATCTTGCACTTGTGGTGATATATTAAAAGGAAAATAATAATAGTTTGATTTCAAGATGAAGTACAGCTGGAATACAGATGATCTTTTATCTGTAATACAAACCAATTTGATACGAAATCAGTGAGACACCAAAGTATGAAACATGAGCAGGCTATTTTGAAACCATTTTTCAGAGCTGAACTACACTTTGTGTTTATAGGTCCAGACAGCTGACTACATTTCTCTAATTACTATATCTGCCACGGAGAGGCTGCACTGTTTGAATTTTTGGTATTCAGAGATGATTTGCAATTTTGTAAACCAATGTGTAATTTAAAAATTATTTTAAAGAAAATGTATTGATCCATTTCACAGTCTACTTTTATATCTTTATAGCTGTTGCTGTGAGAAGTCCTTGGAGCCGAGCCATAACAATGAATGTGTTTATAGTACAGTCTAGGATAATGTGGATCTCATATTAATTAGTGAATTAAGATTCACCCACGCCACCAAAACTTGGGTGATTTTCAAGATCCATTTTCCAGGCTCAGTCACACTTCTTCTACTGTGTACAATGGACAGATTCCTTCCTAGAAATCTCCAATTTGTTGTTACACAGTTTTTAGGACACTTCCCATTAAGGGGTGCTTGATACCCTGGAACACTGAGCAGAGAAGAATGTATAATCAAATGTCTTCAGCAGCTGGGAGCATGCTTCTCAGCACAGATGGAGAGATAAATTTTAGCTCTTCTGGAGCTAGTGCACTAAAAATAGCAGATTGGCTCAGGTGGCTACCGTAGTCCCCTGCTCTTGATGCTGCAGTCACTAATTTTGTGTGTGTTACCTTGAGCAGACCTAATGCATGTCTGTTTACCTGCACTAGGAAGCACTCTCTCAGCTGCTGTGCAGGTATATTCCATGTGGCTACATAAGCAAAGGGATTTCTCCATCCTCTGAATAAAGCGTATAAACTGTATATGTGCAGATTTCAGTGTAAAAACTGCAGTGATGCTATTGCTGTTTTTAATTGTAGAGATCATCTGTGTTTGAAGATTGATTCTAAAAATATCCAGGATAAACACTCTAGTGCCGTCCGACAGGTAATGAAGGAAACAATTAAAAATATTGCGATCTTAGTTGAAAAAAAATTATGAGTTTCTGTTTGAGACTGTTACTTTAACAGTGACATTACTTAAGTATTAATTAAATGCCACAGTTGTATTTCTTAACACGTTGAGGAAACCCAGGGTTTAAGTACACATCTATTGGTGAAGCATAAACTTCTGAACATGTTAGTGTATAATCTGTTGTACAGTGGGACCAAATTAAACACTTTCAGCTCCTAAATTCTGTGCAGTGTTAATTTATTACGTTGACAGTGAAGTGCAGATTAGGACATTTTTATGAAAGTTTGCAATTTAGTAAGGTGAGCATTTTAAAAAATATTACATATTTTATATACCGGTGATAATTCTTCAGAATATAAAAACTTAAGATACACAAAACTACTTTTATGGAAGCTGGCACGGGTGTCTTAGGGACATGAGACCTAAGAAGGACATTGTTATCACAAATTTACAGCAAATTCAATACAAGAACCACAGAATAATAAAAAACAAAGTAGCAACCAGGCACACAAACATCAGGAAAATAAATACAATTTCTAATTTGTGACAGATTTCACCATCAGAATTGTCTCCATTCAATCCTAAGAGCAGATGAATATTCTTATTCCTTTTGCAAATAGGCCAATTATAGTTACCTTTTTGTTTTGGAATTCAGCTGTGGTTTTTGCATCTTGACTTCTGAAATCTGAATTTTGATGGAAGAAAGTTAATTTAGAATTAATCAAGATGAAACTTTCAAAACAGAGAATGTTTTCTGTAAGGCCACAATGTTTGACAGAGGCTAAGCTCATCACGAATTAACATGATGTTAACATGGATTTTACCAGGTCGTTGTTTTTGAAATTTCACTTCAGAGGTAACAATGAGGCTAGTTAAATTTGTCTTTTGTTTTCACTTCATTCAGTTTTTTAATAGTTGGGTGAAAATATTAATATGAAAATACTTAGAAAATTACTTGAAACATTACAATCGTAACTTTTAAATTTCCATTTTAAAAGTCTTTAAATAAAACATTGCAGGTGCATCTACACAGCAGAGCTTAACTCAAAATAAGCTATGCACCTTGAGCTATGTCAATTGCGTAGCTTATTTCGAAATTGGGAGCATCTACACAGCACTTATTTCGAAATAGAGCACTCTTCCTCTGACTTTGATTATTCCTCCTACAATGAGGGTTAAAGGAGTCAGAGTAAAAAGTCCTCCAGCTTGACAGTATTTTGACATTATTTTGAAATAACTGTCTGCTGTGTAGCTGTGGACTAAGTTATTTCAAAATAATGCTAGTTATTTTGAAATAATGTTCCTTTATAGATGTACCCTATTTTTTACTCAAAACTGTAATTTTAGGCTTGACTTAGGAGATCATTACAGTACAGGCAGTCCCCGGGTTACATACAAGATAGGGACTGTAGGTTTGTTCTTAAGTTGAATTTGTATGTAAGTCAGAACTGGTACATATTGTAAGGGAAACTCTAGCCAAACATTTCTCCAGAGCTCAGTTTTATTCTCCCACACCTCACTTCCTTCAGTCCTTTATTCTCAAGCTGAGGTGTCTGCTGAGAAAAGCCGCTCCGCGTCTCCCTGGTCTGCTGGGGGGGAGGAGGGGGCGCTAGCTTCGCGTCTCCCTGGTCTGCTGGGGGGAAGCAGCTAGTGCGGGGTTGCCTCACCCCGTTTGTAAGTAGGGATCCGATGTAAGTCGGATCCATGTAACCCGGGGACTACCTGTATATGTAACAGGGTATTCCAGCTTGATATAACACATTTTAATGTATTCATTTGGATTTATGTAAATAGGAAAATGATTGTTACCCTCTAACATCCAAATAATACTCTAGTGTAATTAAAATGAAGCAGTATAATTCAATATAATACACTATAAGGAAATCCAGGCAACTTAAGATCTCAATATTTAGAGAGGTATCAATGATAATTTGTTTTAGCAAAAACAATAAAAAGTTCTGTGTCATCTTAAAAACTAACACATTTATTTAGGTATGAGCTTTTGTGCACTGGAAAGTGATTTCCAGCCCATGAAAGCTTTTTCCCAAATAAATTTGTTAGTCTTTAAGATGACACTTTTTTTAAGTTCTCAAGTCATCCTTTGGCGTCCAAAATTTTCCCTTTTTTATAATTACTTTTACACCTTCACTCTGTCTAACATTGTGTGGAGAGAGAATGAGGAGTTTTAATATTTTTTAATAATTAATTAATTTTATATCTTTAAAAAATGAGGAATTAAAGCTTATAAAGCAAGTTTGTCTGACTCTGGCACAATGAGGTATTCTGGTCTATGTGCATGTGTGTAGACTTGTACTGCCCTGTTTGTGTATGGTAAAAAATATTTATGCAATCGTCTTTAACAAGTAATTAATACTTAAGAACAGTGAACACTTCATGACATTACATTCAGCTTTGCTTTTCCTTATTGTTCAAAGTAGTAAGGCCCGAATCCTGCAACTACTTGTGCTTAGAGGACTTCTTGCATAAAAGTTCATCATGTGGTTTTCAACATAGAGTCAGAGCTTAGGATTTAAACCACTTTATGAACTATTAAATTCAATATTTATGTAAGGAAGTATCCCAAGATATTTCAGGATTAGATATAAAAGAAGATCAAAAGTGAGATGATATAGGCAAGGGAGAGAAAAATGTTCTCAGATTGTTTTATTGTTTTAGAGGAATAGGTGAGTGTAAAATGAAACAATACATGAAGTCCTCTTTGAGATGGTAAACTCGCTGGGGAGCGGACGGACTCTTAAGCGAAAATTATGAACATGTGTGAAAGGACAGATGAGTTGAGATTTAGAGAGACTAGGTCTGTGAGGTATGTTGGAACAACAGATTGTTAAACTAGATGGATGATCATTTTTAAATGAATGGGAAGCCAGTGAAGTTGTTTGTTTGTCTGAAACAATATTTTCTAAAATATTATTGAAGTTGCTTCTGTACAAACGTTGCATACCTATAAACCAGGTTAAAGTGAATGTTGCCACCTAACAAAATTCACAGAGATGGAACTCTTATAACCAAAATGCAGAAAATACTGACTTCTATTGTTGTTTAATCGCCACTTGGAGATAACATTTTCAATAATTAGTAGCTTGTTTCATAACATAGTGAACAAAATCTGATTTAGTTAAGATTGATTTTTGTAGGTGGATTTAACTGTGTTGCCAGAAATGTTGAAGACACTTGTTCATGATGGCTATACAGCCTTGATGGACCAACGTTGTCGCAGTGCTGAACAAGTCTTTTCAAAGTTATTGATTATTTTGGATCCTTCAGAGTTGAAGGTAAGGATGAATGTACCCTGGCCACCTTAATAGGCATGATTGAGCTTTGACCCGTAAGTTTTATATTTCATTTATTTTCCTCCCCCAAAGCAATCGTGTTTTTTGTTTTGTTTTATTTTGTTTATTTTATTTTATTTGTTTCCAGTCACATTCCACTATGTCCTAAGCATTGTACACATGTTAAAAAAAGCATAGTCTATCTTAAATAGCTTATCTAAAATGTTAGAGACTAGTGTACAGGGAAAAAATACAATAAAGTGATTGTGGTGATAATGGACAACATTTCAACATTAAAATGTTTTGGGAATACAAAATGTTATGTTTCTGTGCAGGTACACAAAATTCTACATCTTAAACTTTTTATTAAGATGTGAGAGCCATAATCATATTAACCACTTCACTTATATTTGGTTTTCTTACAACCTTAAAAAAATGGAATAAAGTATAAGCTCATTGTGGTAAATACTGTGATTTTTAAAAATATCTAATCCATCCCCAGGGAATTTTTGTTGTCTTCGTTGTTATAGATTAGGGATTTAAAAGGTTAACCGGTTTACTGGTACGCCTCATCCTTAGTGGATGAGGCTTAACAGTTCCAATTAACTGATACGGGCTGGAGCAGCTCCCCACCTGCTCCTAGCAGGGGCTGCATCAGTCTTGTGGGGCCTGCCAGAGCAGCCCCTGTCTGTAGCAGGCTCAGCCGCCCTCCTGCTCCATCTGTGTAGTAGGTTACATGAGGACGGAGCCGGCAGGGCCGCTCCCAGGAAAGCTTCATTGCGGGCTCTGAAGTATAAAGATTATTAATGCTTTTTACTGCAGAGCCCACAATGTGTGTAACCATGTAATTGCTATGATTTTTAGCAGTTACCCAGTTGCATTTTTTAAACACGTTTTTACATCCCTGTTACACACACAGTTGCTGATAGGTATTTTGAAATTACCAAATTAATTGGAACCAGTGTAATTATATAAGATTGTTTTGACAAATAAGAGGGCAAAATGTTAAAATATTTTTAATATTTTATCGTGGGTCTTCCTCACAAGCACATATCAAATAGTGTGTATGTATATATTTGTATGTGCACTCCTTGCAAACATTAAATGTCCCAGATCCAATTGTACTGACAGGGGTTACCTGCTGCAACAAAAGAAACACTGAACTCTCCAGGAAAATAGCATGCTTATTGACCTGAAATCATAGCTTGCCATATTAATAAGGGAAAAACTGAGGAATTTCTAGCAACGTCCATTCATTTAAGAACACTTTAAGAAATGTATTGTAGTCGTCTAGCTAAAATAGTAGATACGCTAATTTGCTCTTCCTGTGTTGAGTATTTTCTCTATGAACATAATATAGTCAGCCAAGGTATAATTTTTAAAAAAGCAGCTGTTCCAGAATCCATTACCATGCTGTGTTTGAGAAGGAAGCCCCTCTCAAGCCATCACAAATGGCCAAATGAGACTCTGGTTGATTGTGACACTGACTTGGTTATTGCCTGAAGATTGTGATTGTATGTATTGTGAGGACTGGTTTTCCCTATGTTGAAACAAAAGTCAGGACTATGCAGCACTTTAAAGACGAACAAGATGGTTTATTAGGTGATGAGCTTTCGTGTTAAGGCCCATTCGTAAAGTGTCAGATTTAACAAAGATGCTAACTTCCTTACCCATTACATAGATAGCTTCCCCAGTTATCACCCCAATATCATTATCTCATAGACGCTAACCTCCCCCCTCCCCCCCCCCGAACCTTCCTCGGTTCTAAAATCTGATTTGTCAATTTTATATGTGTTCACTTTTTTTTTAATCTTATCCCTTTGGTATATCTGGTCATGCCAATTTTCTTCCACAATTTGATCTGAGGAAGTGGGTCTGGCCCACGAAAGCTCATCACCTAATAAACCATCTTATTAGTCTTTAAAGTGCCGCATAGTCCTGTCTTTTGTTTCAGCAAGACCAGACTAACACGGCTACATCTCTATTACTATTTCCCTATGTTGACTGTGGCAAACATTGTCCACTTCAAGGTAGTATGTTTTGGTTACTAACTTAATGTTTTCACGCATACTGTTAAATGTGATTTCTTCGATTATTTGCAGCAGCTGAATCTTGCTGTTATTGACTATGTAGTAGTCATCTATGGATATGCCACTGCTCTCCTTGGAATAGGACAGCCTGAGGTAAGAGTTTAAGTTTCTACAAACTGATGCTTCCAAATCTTAAAATTCCAGTTCAGGTTACCCATCATCACCTTTTTTAAGTAGACGGAAGATAAGGTGACCTCCACAATGAGGTTTAGGCAGTGATTAGGAAATAGTGTTATTTATTGTCCAGAGAAGCTTGTATTTGGATTTGTAGAAATTACTAAGTCAGAAAATTACTCCTAAGTTTTCAAATGGGACTCAAAGACTGTTAATGAAGGGGAAAACAGCCTTACCCAATGCTATTCCCCCTTCTTTTTTATAGTATTTAGCGGTTGAGTAACTTGAGTAGATCCAGCCACTTTTAACAGCCTTTTAAATATTTTTCCATAAATCCCGACAGCAGGTAAGGCTCTTCCTCATTCAGTTGCCCTCCCCCAATATTTTGGAGTATTTTTTAAAATAGCAGTTCTTGTAGCTTTCTAGTCCCTTGAGATTTTGGGTTGCTTAACAATGTAAAGGCTTATTCAGGAGAAAACACTAATGATAACATACACTTGCCTTCCTAAAGTAATCAAATAAATGGACCATGTAAGAGCGAAGCTTAAAGTGGAAGCGTGGTTCAGTCTAGATCAGTGGTTCTCAAACTTTCTGGCCCGTGGCCCACCTGGCTCAATGCAAACCTTTCCATGGACTACGAGTTGCTAATAGAAACTCGCTGTTAATTACATAATTATGCCCTAGACATTTTGCTAGTGCTGCAGCTAGGGAGAACAGTTTAATTTAAAGGAAAGGAAATATTAATTTAAGTTATTAAATGGACTGAGTGCTTTAACTTTCTCATGTTTATTTAAAATGAAGTTTGATAAACTAAGTAAAATATTAATTCGTGTCCAAAGCAAAAAGTTCCCATGTTTTTTTATATATAGCAGGGTGGAGAACATTTTTTGGCTCGGGCGCCACTGACCCACAGAAAACTCAGTGTAGATGTTACAAGTGACAAACAAACAAAAAAAACCACCCTTCAGAAACCCCCAATTCTCTCTGATGTGGCTCCCAACTGAGACACTCTTCTGGCACTCCAGCCCCACCTGGGGAGGGAGAGGGGTGGAGGGAGGACAGAGGTTCAAGGCTTCCCATAGGTCAGATTTACTCTTCTGGGGTTCCAGTGTTAGTGGATTTTTGTGGTCCCCTAGGCTTTGGGATTGGGGCAAAACTGGGGGTTCATTGTGCAGGATAGAACTGCCAGTGAGAGGAATGGGGGTGCAGGATCTGGGCGGTAGGTGGGGTGCAGGAGGGGGTGAGGGCATGAGCTCTGGATGTGAGGTAGGTTGCAGGAACAGTCTGGGATTAGGGTGTTTGGCCAGAAGGAAGAGGCAAGAGCAAGGGAAGGTGCAGTGTGGGGCCAGGAGGGAGAGCGTAGGAGCAAGGGAGGATACAAGAGCATGCTGAGAGCATGAGTCTTGGCAGGGTGTGTGTGTGTGAGGGACCTGGGGGTGCAGGACGCTGGGCATGAGGGAGCGGGGCAGACACTTACTTGCCTTCTCACCGCATGCTACTCTCAGGCATGGCCTCCTGCTACTCCCATTGGCTGGATTGTGGCCAATGGAAGCAATGGGGAAAGCCCCCAGGCAGCAGAACCAAGTGCTGCTGTGCCCCCAGGTTGGGGAGGAAGAGGGAGAGCACTTCTTCCCCATGAGCTGGATCACACAGCAAGGCTCAGGGTTTTCTCCCCACCCCCAGGAAGACGATGCTGGTGCTCCAACTTTGTGGGGACTGGAGGGAGGAAACGCAAGGCTGGAGCACCAGTGTGAGCTTCCTACTGCAGGGGGGAAGGAGGAGGGCTGAGCTCAAGCTCCGGACTACCTGGAAGGTGGCCACGGACCACAGTTTGAGTACCACTGATCTAGATCAATAAACTCCTTTTTGTTTATGTAAATCATAAAGAAAAAGAGACTGCATATTCACACCTTCCATGCTCTTAAAGTTGACAAAGGCATAGGCAGTGCTGCATTTTTGAGCAGTTAAAAGCCTTAATCCAAAAGCTACTCGACCTTTTCATTTTGTTTTTAACTATCTCATTCATTTGTGATTATCTTAAACTTATTTTGAAGGAATTAGCAAAGGCTGAAGACCAGTTTAACAAAATAATTGAGCAGTATCACAAGGAGAGATTTAATTGCTTGGCACATTTTGGAATTGGAAAAGTGTACTTGAGACAAAACAGGTTCGTACAATGCAAAACTTCATATTTATTAAGCTTGATGCAAAAGCAAGTTAACTTAGATTTATTTTATAAATGAATATCCATCCATGTTAGTTACAAATATCTTTGTTTTTAATAGTTAATTCTTTCTCCACTATCATGCATTTCATGCAGTCTTTAATTTTTGATGACTTTCCGTTTCCTTAAGTCCCAAAATGTATTGCACAAGCATAAAGCATTGTATTTCATGTAAGAGATTTGCATGAAATGGCTGTAGAAGTTGTGATCTCACTATCTTGTATATGTTTAAAATTTAGATTTTCAGATGCTATAGATCAGTTTATGAAATCACAGACAATGATTAACCATAAAATTGTACCTGGAACATTAACGTGGCCCACAACTTCTGTTGTTATTGAAGAGACTCGGACTGAAAAATTACAGGTAAATAAAAATATCATCTCTGTAAATCAGAGAATTTCTTAATGAATGGTGAGATGCTGATTTAATATAGCTTCATTTAGCTTTTCAGAATGAATCTGGGCTTTTTATGATCTCATCAAGACACAAGAAGGGAGAAACAAGGCTTCCCAGAATCCTCCCCCTAACCGTATTTATTGCCAGTTAAAATATTCTCAACCCTAGATGCAGTTTGTAGAGAGGAGGGATCTGTTCTCTTTGAATCCAGTCAACACTTCTTGAGTAGAATTCTTCTGAGAGTATCCTTTCTCACGGGTTTTGGGAGGTGAGATTTAGATTACTGTCAGGGAGGGGAGAAATGGAATTTTTTGTAACTTGGGCCCAGAAAGTGGTCATTGCAGTGGTAGCCAGAGGTCAGCTGTAGTTGCATGTCACCAAAATTAGAACCTATGGATATTACTGACTTGGTACAGCCACTTTTCCAAGGATCTTTACATCTGTTTCCCTTTCTGAATACAGTAAAGTGAAAGTGACTGAATGATCTATGATAAATGTATTTTGAGTGTCTTATTTAATATTATACGTTAAATGTTAAGTTACATACACCATTAACTTACAAGGCTACTCTAACTTCGTAGCAGATAACATTTAGTGAATTGCAAATAATTCTATTGAAGGGTTTTTGCAAGAAAACAAACTTCACAAGCTAAGCTCAAATTTGTGTTCAAAATCACTACTTTGTATTTGTACAAAATGATGCAACATGCTCATTTTTCTTCAGAAGTTAGATAAAATATGCCACTACTATGCCAAATGAGGTGATGCAGCTTTTTGACCTTAAAGTCTATGAGTCTATTTATATAAACAGAGGAACTGCCAGATTGGATGAGATCCAACATCCATCTAGTCTAGTATCCTGTCTGACAGAGCCAGAACCAGATGCTGGAGATGGGAAGCAAAATCTGCCCCCATCTTAGGTTTCATCCTGGTCTTTAATAGCTAGAGATTTCTTTCAACCTGAAGTTAGAGGTTTAATTTCCCTTCCAAAAGTTAATGTGTGTAATCACTGTGGCCTGAAGCCTCAGATCAGTCATGGGCAACATACAGCCCACAGGCAGCCCACTGGGGCTCCACCTGCAGTCCCCCTTTCCCACACACCCTCATGTACTAGAGCACCAGAGTTTCACTATTCCTAAACTTCTGCCTCCCTCCCAGTACTTTCAGTGTGCCACAAATCACCCGATTCACATTGCATCCCTACTCCTCCCCCTCCCTTCCAGAGCTTGAGTGCTGCAAGTCAGCTGTTCACACCTGAGCAAGTTGAGGGAGGAGGATGAGCAGGGATGGAGCACAAATCCTCCGATTCATGGAACTTGGAAAAGCTGGGAGGAGTAGGAAGTGCAGGGCTCCACTGCTTCAGAGGTGTGGGGGAAGTCTGCAGACCAGGGGGAGGGGGAGCAGAGCGGAGCACGTGGCCAGCTGACAGCCCAGACGCGTCTGGGCTGTCAGCTGGCCGCGTGTTCCGCCGCTTTTCTTCCTCTCCCTGGTCTGCTGGAGACCAGGGAGAGGAAGGGCCCCGTTCGTAACTGCGGATCCGACATAAGTCGGATCCGCGTAACTCGGGGACTGCCTGTATATCCAACCAGTTCTGAAGCAGTAGCCACTATAGTAGCTACTGCTATAGCCAACTAAACATACTCAACCGGTCAAATATCGGGATGTGGCTATTGTGTCAGACACCACTGCACTAGGGGTTTAGCAACATGATTCCCAGTAATTTTAGTGGGAATATTCTAGTTATGTGTCTTGGTTGACCTTGAAAATCCGTTAGCTTTAAGATTGAATGGGAGACGTAGACACACAGCCATTCTTGCATTCACAAACATCCTTAAGCTGAGAGAGAACTATTAACATGTAAAACGATAGCCTGGCCAAGCTCTTACTCCTTGTGGAATTCTGTGTCAAAAAATTAAAAATTCTATGCACAATATTTTAAAATTCAGTTAGAATAACACAATGTAATAATTCCAGTTTCAGTTACTTGGGTAATTTATTTCAAAATATCTGCCAGCAAATACACATGTAACAATACAGACAACAAAAAAGACTTGAAATATTTTTTGACAAATAGATTTCTTACTAGACTTATTAATATAGAACTTTGAGTAATAATTCATTTAAGCTATAATACAGAAACCTCTTTCCCCACACCTGTCAAAAGCAGAGCAGTCTTGGGGATCATAGGCACTGACTCTGTGGTTGTTCTGGGGTTAGAGCACCCACGGGGAACAATTGATGTGTTCTGAACACACACCGGCAGCCTATCATCAGCTCTCCAGTGCCTCCTTCCTATGTGCCTGCAAACCCCATAGATCGGTGCCTTCTCCTTCCTCCACACACCTCCTGTGGGAGGCTGGGAGGAGGGGTGGGAGTGAGTGCACTCTGGGGTGGGGGTGGAACTGGGCAGGAAAAGTCAGGGCATGGGTGAAGCGGAGGCAAAAGAGGCAGGGTGGACAGGTGTGGGTTTTGTGGAAGTGGTGGAGTGGAGGTGAGGTGTGAGGGAGAGCCATGGTCCAAGCACCCACCACATTCCTGGCACTTGAAAGTCAATGCCTTTGTGGGAGAGTAAGGGCTAATGGAGGAGCTGAGCGAGAGGAAAATTAAATGCTGGGAAGGAGCCTGGGAGTGAACCTACTGGGCTGTTGGATTGGGTGGGAGAAGTATGGAAGATAGTTGTTGGGTTTTTTTTGGGGGGGGGGGAGGAGTGTATTTTACGGAGTTGGGCAGCCTCTTCCATGCATACTGTGGCTGACCTCTAGGCTCTCCCATTCATTCTGGCACATCTGCCTCTGTGCTCATATATCTCAGAACTCTTGCTCCCCATTCAGCCAGGCATAACTGCACAGGTCTCTATGTGGCCCTGCACCCTCACCCCCTGTCGGCATATGCCCCTGCACTCTCCCCTCCTCCATCCTCATCTGGTCCTCAACCCCTCTCATTCTACCCTGGCTCATGGTTGTCACCCCACTAGTTCTGTGATCTTGTTTCATTTTGTCTGCCCACCCCCCCAACTAGCCCTTTTGAATCCCAGTCTATGTAGTTCCTCAACAGCCCCACATGCCCTTATCTGTCAGTTTCCCTATCCATCACATATCCTGTGCATTCTCAACTGGCTCCACGAGTAGAACCTCTGCTCTGGCCCATGAGCCAGCTACCCTCTCTTGTGATACATTAGTCCCTGGTGAACAAAAGGGATAGTTGCAGCATTACTCTTCTTGTGGCTTCCTTTTGCCTTCACATCAGAACCACCTATTCTGTGGGGGAGAGGAGTATAAAAGGGGATGTTAATTCTGCACGTGTGCAGTGGCCCAGAATTACCCTAGGAGTACTCTATGCAGAGTGGCTATGCATTCCTTACTGACACTTGTATAAATGCAAAGAACAGTTGAAATATTGTGCAGCATGTTAGTCGGGAAGTTTTTAAAATAAAGTAATACTTGAAAATAATTACTCTTCTGGTGTTTGAGTTATACTGCTGAAAATGTGGTGTTTGTTTCATTTCAAGAGCCTCCAAATCTTAAAAATGTAAGTAGAGGTATGTTTGGTTTTTGTGCCTGAGAGATTATTTGGGATGATGTGATTTTATTTTGATGTTGTTTTAATAGTTGATGTTGGAGAATTTCATTGGTGAATGCAAGTTTCCTCCAGAGCCAGATGCAGTTTGTTCTTATCAGCAGTTTCATGGGCATTCAAAAATTCAAATCTATTTTACAGATCCAGACTTCAAGGTAAACTTTTCTTAATGGGTTTTGGAGATTAAACTTTTTCTGCAGTTATATGCCTTATGCATAATTCAAAGATTCATGTGATACATACATTCTTAACTATTTTTTGTTGAATGATGCATTTTTTTTCTCTGAATGAATCAATTCATATGGTCTTTAAATTTTAGGGTTTTATACGTATCACTTGCTCTGAGCAGTGTAAAGTGGAGTTTCACATCAGCTGTTGGAAAAAGCTAAAAACTACCGTTTACAGTGATAAAAATGACAAGGTAAGAGCCATGTCAAATTTCTAATTAAGTATTAGTTACTAACTGTTTTCTAGAGGTTATAGCTGTTTTTATGTCATTGAGATGAATATAGTCCCAAAATCTTAACATTTCAACTATTCTATGGAGAATATACAGTCTTGAGTTGAAGGTATAGGGAGATCCTGCAAGTGTCAAGGTATTTGTAGAGGACAGAGATATTTATGTAGAGGCTCAGTGTGTTTGGCCTGTTCTCTACCTCTTTATGGATTTTTGATTCCCTTAGAAGCCTTGCTGTTGAGGCTTCCCCATCAGCTAATACTCCAAAACCTAAAGGATTTCAATGTACATAAGGATACCTGGCAGAAGTTAATGGTGACACTCAGTATAATCTTCCATTGGTTTAGGAAGTAAAAGAGTACATGCCATGAGCCGCTGCTTTCATCTTTTTGACCCCAGCCATTTTATGCCATTATTTGCTTCCCTTAGCTAATACAAGTAGCTGCCTAAGCCTTTAGCAATGGTCTTAATTTACTGTCAGCATGAGTTCATCTTACACAGTAGTTAATGCTCTGGGTTTGTCACAGAGATCATAGAAGTAATTAATTCTATGGATTTCTGTGGCCTCTGTGACTTCTGTAGCACCCTGTGCTGCTGGCCTAGAGGCTACCTGAGCCATTTGGGTAGCCCCTGAGCTAGCCACACTGGCTGCTGCTGGTGCAGTCTAGCCTCCTTCCTCCCTCCCACTCTTTAGTAGCATGAATTTGGGATGGGGCTCAGTGCTAGGTTGAGGTGCAGGATGGTGTTTGTGGGAGGCTCCCTTGGAAAGGCAACAGGAACTCTTCTCCCTCAGGTCCTAGGTCCACATGCTGCCTCTGCCCACTGGCTCTACTCTCCCAGCTCTCATTGGCTATCATTCCCAGCTAATCGGAGTTGCAGAACTGGGTCTTGGGGTGGAGTGGAGGCAGCATGTGGCACTAGGAACTGGAGGTCACTGCTTCCCAGGAGCCGGAGAGGGAACCTACCCAATACCTGCCATCCACCTGTACCCCTCAGCATCCATGGCACTCTTTAGCTACTCCCCCAAAACTTCCCACACCCCCGCCACGTTTCAGTTAGGTGTGAATAGTAAAAGTCATGGACAAGGGCTGTGAATTTTTATTTACTGACTGTGACCTTTCTATGACTTTTACTAAAAATACCCATGACTAAAATGTAGCCTTAACAAAAGCATTATTATATAAAAACATATTGGTAGTGCATCTTATTGTTTTATTGAAAGTATTTTTTTTTCTGTCCATCTGATCTTCTTCCACAGGATCTTCTTCAAGCGTCATGTTTCACTCCTGATTGTAGAGGCCTCATTTCAAAAATTATTATCTTCAGTTCTTCCGGTATCATAAAATGCATGGTAAGTAAATAAACATCAGTGTGTAATGAGAATCAGTCTTATAAAAAAATCCTAAGCTTGCAATGAAAATCCAAGGAACATGTTACTTACTGACATTGTGCAGTTACATATTTTCCATTAACGGATCACGATACTTTACATGCCTCAATTAACTTCAATGCTCCTGTTTAAGGAGGTAGTTGTAGTCACCAAAACTACTTTAAAAAAAAAAAGGCACGTGGTGGTGTTACCCTTATTACAAAACCACAGGTAAACTGAAATGTTTTAAATATAAGCTGCATACATGTAATTTAAGGGAGTTTCATTGAATTTTCATAGTACACTAAGTATGAGGTGGTCTGGTGCAACTATTTTTAACAGATATATGCTGTGTCAGATTCCTTGCACATAGACATCCTGGCTTGTTTTGGATTGGTGATAGAGTGAAATTACTCATCATTGTAGGAGCAAGAATTCTACCTATTGGGGAAGAGGTAAATTCAGTTCTTCAATTAGTGTCCCACTTGAGGTTACTTCACGTGTTCATGAGCCTCGTGCACCTTTGATTGAAGATTTTTCCATTAGGAGCATCTCTCTGGGCCGTGTATGCACTTGATACAACTTTGTGCCACAGACAAATAGTATATAGAATCGCACTAGTGAACTGCCCTGAATTCTTCTCTACCGCATCAGCCTGAGAGAGAATTCTAGCATATTTGTTTTGTGTGTGCCTCAGCATGTTCTACGTGATCGACACAGCTACCATTACCTTGCACACTGTGTTATTTTAGTTTAATGTTTCTAGTTAGTGTTAGCTATTGTTAGTATAGGATTAATTAAATAATAGTGAGAAGCTTCAGTTTTTCTCTCTTGTTTTCTTCTTTTTTCTGGTGACCTGGCTGGTTCTGCCTGGCTCACCATGTTTCAAATTCCACCTCTCTTGTCAGGACACTGTCCCTGTCAGCAATGGCCATTCTAAGTGTATCTATTGCTTAGAAGAGTCCCTTATGTCCCAATAATATAACTCTCTTCTGGCTTTCGAATCTACACACAGGAGAATTGGGAGTCCAAACAAGCTTTTCTGTTGATAGAGTGATCCCTTTGACCCACTTCTGAGTGAGGTCAGGAGACTCACATCCTTTGTAAATTTGTCTCTGGGCAGATCCAGCATCCTTTGACTCAGTCCAGGTCTCCCCAAAAGGGGAGAAGACTTAGTATTCATGGAAAACTCCTAAGAAGAAGAATTCAGTCTCCCACCACAAGAAGCTAGCTCCCGAAAGGTCACGATGTCTCATTAAATCTACAGTTTTGGAGTCCTTGACCTCTTTGCTTGGTACCATGGATTTGAAGGACTCTCTCTGGTATCATAGATCCCAGCGTGCTACAGTAGGTCTCCTGTACCACCTATGAAGGACAGGGAGCTTCAGGACACAGACTACTCTGAAATGGCGCTATCAACATCAGACTTACCAGTAATTTTTCTGTCAGTGGGTGCATCACCATTAGGGTTAGTAGGTAAGTGCCTGTAAATTGTTGGATTTCCAATTCCCTTTGAAGAGACTCTGCCTGGGGACAAGGCATGCTTCAAAGCCTGCACAGAATGTCACAGGCCCATTCCAGTTGTCAATATTCATGCTGACTTGCCTGTGTTGCCTGGGGGAAGGACACGTCTTGGGCAAGTTCTGCATTTGCAGGTCCTTCCATCCCAAAACTATTACAGAGTGAAGCATTCATCTTAGAGCACTCTTAATGAAGTCTGCACTTGCCCCCACAGGATCAGTGGTCAGACTCAGCACTGAGTGTTTGTGTCTCACTGCGCAGCGCATTGACAGCTCAGTTCTAGTTGTTGCCCATGACCCCAGTTAGGAAGCCAGGCAGAGAGAAGTCCCCTTGTAAGAAAAACAGGGAAGAAGAGTGGTGAGCTGGTGGAAAGGCTGGAAAAGCCTCAGAAGGCACCGAGCCCCACGTCTGGTCACCTTCATCAGGTGCTGGAGGTCTGTCTCCCCTCCATGCCGAAAGCCTTTCAAATTGTTTAGGACATAAGTGCCATGTTGGTACCACATGGTACAAGTCGCTTGATCATTGTCTTCGGTCCACCCACTCTGGGGCACCTGGTGTTGGCCACTGTCGGCAGACAGGATACAGGGCTAGATGGACCTTTGGTCTGACCCAGTACGGCCGTTCTTATGTTCTTAAGTACCACCCCAAATGGTGCCCCGGCACAGGGGTAAACCGCTGTTTGGCCCCTGATCTCCTGGCATAGTCTGATAGCACTCTTCTTTGGTGTCCAAGAGGAGAGCACTCCAAAGTCCTTGTGGGTCTGCATATGAGAGACTGGGGCACAAAGCACGATCTCCAGCGTTGCTGGAGTCGGTGTGCAGACTTGTGCAGACATGTGCCCCCGGGCACCAGAGTGTCTAAGAGCACTCTGGATCTTCTCTCAGACACCATTCTCCAGACTCGACGAGTGGCTCTTTGGGGCATCATAGCTCGCTTGTCCACTAGTGCCCCTTCTCTACTTACGATACATTGATGACATCTTCATCATCTGGACCCATAGGAAGGGGGCTCTGGAAGAATTCCACTGCGATTTCAATAATTTCCACCCCATCATCAACCTCAGCCTGAACCAGTCTACACAAGAGATCCCCTTCCTGGACATCATGGTGTAAATAAGTGATGGTCATATAAACACCACCCTATATCGAAAACCTACTGATCGCTATGCCTACCTTCATGCCTCCAGCTTCCATCCCGGACACACCACAAGATCCATTGTCCACAGCCAAGCACTAAGGTACAACCGCATTTGCTCCAACCGCTCAGACAAAGACAAACACCTACAAAATCTTCACCAAGCATTCTTGAAACTACAATACCCGCCCAAGGAAGTGAGGAAACACATTAACAGAGCCAGATGTGTACCCAGAAGCCTCCTACTACATGACAATCCCAACAAAGAAACCAACAGAACACCACTGGCCATCTCCTATAGTTCTCAGCTAAAACCTCTCCAGTGCATCATCAGTGATCTACAACCCATCCTGGACAATAATCCCTCACTTTCATAGGCCTTGGGAGGCAGGCCAGTCCTTGCCCACAGACAACCCGCAAACCTGAACAAATTCTCATCAGCAACTATACACCGCACTACAGTAACTCTAATGCAGGAACCAATCCGTGCAACAACCTCGGTGCCAACTCTGCCCACCTATCAAAGGACCTAACCAGATCAGCCACACCATCATGGGTTCATTCACCTGCATATCTACCAATGTAATATACACCATCATGTGCCAGCAATGCCCCTCTGCTATATACATTGGCCAAACTGGACAATCCCTACGTAAAAGAATAAAAGAACACAAATCAGATATCAGGAATGGTAATATACAAAAATCTGTAGAACACTTCAGTCTCCCTGGACACACAGTAGCAGATTTAAAGGTAGCCATCCTGCAACAGAAAAAATTCAAGAATAGACTTCAAAGAGAAACTGCTGAGCTACAGTTCATCTGCAAATTTGACACCATCATTTTAGGATTAAACAAAGACCGGGAATGGCTAGCCAACTACAAAAGCAGTTTCTCCTCTCTTGGTGTTCACGCCTCCACATCAGCTGCTAAAAGTGGGCCTCATCCTTTCTGACAGAATTGACCTCGTTATGTCTAGCCTTACTCTTGATTGGTACTCTTTTCTTATGCCTGTATATTTACACCTGCCTCTGGAATTTCCACTACATCCATGTGACCAAGTGGGTCTTTGCCACGAAAGCTTATACTCCAATAAATCTGTTAGTCTATAAGGTGCCACAGGACTCCTCATCACTTTTGCAGATTCAGACTAACACAGCTACCCCTCTGATACATAGCTCCTACAGATACTCCAAATGTTCCCAGGCCCTGAGGTCTCTGTCGGTAGCAGAATCTTGGCACCAGAAGAGCCACCACCTCCCGCTCCTTGTCATGGGAGTCATCAAGCATCTGCTCCTGCAGTGTGGCTTCAGAGGCAGCCTTCATCCCTTTGGTGCAGCATTCAGCACAACCCTTGGTGCTGTCGACATCGGCACCCCCAGTGCCATCCCAGGGCATGCTTTGGCCACTGTCTCAATGGCAGGTGCAGTGGTACCCGCGGACTCTCTGGGGCTTCCCAGTACAGTTCCATCTTATCCGCTCTGTTGCTGGAGTGTTCCAGGCCTCCTCAGTGCTGCTAGGGTCTCATGGGCCTCAAGAGGATGTGGGGACACGAGCCCATGTCTCCTCCTCTTCATCGCTAGATGAGGTGATTGTGGCTTTTCCTCCGGTGGTGACCCAGGAGGACTCAAGAGCCAACCAAGACCTCCTGAAGATGGTGGCTAATTGCTTGGGCCTCTAGGCCAAGGTGGTGCAAGATACCTTGGACTTGTTGTTTGGGGTCCTGGGTCAAACTGCACTTGATAGGGTGGCCTTGCCCCTGCACAAGGTAGTCACCAAGATTGCCAACACACTCTCACAGACATCCTTCTCCATCCAGCCTATAGCCAAGGGGGCTTAGTGGAAGTGTTTTTTGAGATATGTTGCTCATGTCCATTCAGCCTCCCACCTTCCTCCCCTCTGTTGGAGTTCCAGCAAGAAGGAACTGAGGGATGGTACAGGCGGCACCCTATACAGTGCACCATGCATACACCACTCCAAGAGGTGCTGGGGACCCTAGCTCCTATGGGTACTGCTTAGGGAAAAACTTCCAGCACTGGTGCATGTGGCAGGCACACACACCTATGTGGAATGGACATGAGCAACACGTCTTGAACGCCAGTTACTGAACAGGTAACTGTCATAGCCAAAGGGTCCACAGTCTCTACACAAAGACTGTCACTCACTTGGCGCTGTGCTTCTCCAGAGGATGATAGCACACACGCTGCCAGATCACAGAGAACATTCCAGTGTCTAACACATGCATAGCTGCCACACGGGTCTCAGTGCATATTTTTTTCTAAACTCCCTGCATTGGTCTATGCTGTCAGATCTGTTGTGGTGGTTGGTACTGCTGTACTGTTTTTAGTCTTAGTCATTTCCAAACGTCTCTTCTCTCTGTGTACTGCTTGAGAATCATCTGAAATGAAGTACCCAAAAGGATACTATTTGAAGAGGAGGCGATTACTCAGCTTGTGAAATAACTGTGGTTTTCTTAAGATGTGGCTCCGTACGGATGCTGCATTAAAATCTCTGGTCAAGGGCTTAAGAAATACATGCATGCTTGAAGAATAGGTACCTGCAACTAGAAGAGCCAGGGTTATTGTACGTGGTAAATAATCTCTTTTTAGTAAACAAGAAGCATTTTGTTAAGGTTTTCTGTAATGCCTGTTAGAGCATAAAATATTCTAAATAAACTTTGGAGAATAGTGCCATAGGGTGTTGGCAATGATTTAATTGAGGGACTCTTGAATCACTCCAATGCTGTACAAGTGAATCTGTGGTCACTGCCTTTCTTTTGGTAGCTACTGGAACTGAATTCCATGTAGTCCTGTAGTAGTAGGGCCTTTGGGATTAACAATTAGATCTTAATATAGGAGTGGCTCATAGAGCTCAGTCAGGAAGAAGGGGTTTTATGACCAAAGCTACCATTATATCTGAACAAACTAGAGAGAAAATTACAGAGAATTCCCTCCTAAAAAAGTGGAAAAAAATCCCTTAAACTATAAAACAGTGGTGGCATCCCAACACCACTACTAGTGTTGGAATGAGGGAAGCTCACACTTCCTGACAACTCCTGGAGAGAACGATAAGGAAGATTTTTAGCAGCTCATCCCACTTAACAATTGAAGTTAAATAAATATCCAGATTTTATACTGGGATGGAACCGTCTTTTCTTTTTTTGTCACTGTGTGAGGTGGTTACTGCATCCTACAGCAATATCGGTGTATGAGACATCAGAAAATAATTTTAAGGAATGCTTGTTCTGTATTATGGCCTTCTCTGCCAGATTACTGTTTCAGTGAACTAGTTGTCTTTCTAGATACTCAAAGCTTGCTGTTTTGAGAGGCTTGAGTGACCCAGATGGCTGCATATTTTTTTAATTCATGCTATTACTCTGTTGATATTTGAAACCTCAGAGGTCATTTTTGTTTTTATTTTTATGAAGATTGCTTTAGAACTCCAATTCAGTTAATGTGGTGTCATTTTTATTTTTGTAGTTTGAACAAAAAATCCCCAAAATTAAGGATCCACCAAGAGCCAGGGTTAAGCAGAAATGTTCAAGGTAAGATTTTAAGATTGAGTACTTCAAATTAGTAATTTAAAGATGAGCACTATTTACAATAGAGTAGGATTACATATCTCAGAAATTCCTGAAATAATGCAAATATTTTGGAGATTTGATGGTTGCTATCTTTGTGGCTGTGGCAAGGATTCAAATGTTTATTTGATTTCTCTAGGTTTACCACGTTTCTAGAAAGATGGCAAACTAGAGGGTGTTCAGAAAATAGCATGGAAGACTGGGAATCCTAATTTGAGAGGAAGGAAGGAAAAACCTAACTGTATATAATGTGATTAAATCGGACCTCATATTGAGCTGATACTAGCTAATAAGTCTTCTAGGCAGTTCTGTAGTTCCCCCAGCAATTTCCAAAGAACTAAATTTTCATTTTAAAAGGAACAATAATTGTTAATGGTCATGGAGAAAACTTTCAAAATATGAATCAATTTCAAGAGTCTTCACTAAATCTCTATACTGGAGCAGAGAACCTTTTTTGGGTCGGGGACTGCTGACCCATAGAAAAATCAGTCGGGAGCACACACAGGTGAGAAGCCGAAAAAAAAGAAACAATCCTCAATGACATGGCCCCTGACTGAGAAGAAGACCCACATTCCCACGGCAGAGCCTGGGAGACCCAAGCTAGTAGATTTTGTGTGCTCCAGTCCTACGGTGGGATAGTGGGGGGCTGGCATGACAGCATGGGCTCCCCAATGCTGGAGTTGAGCGATGGAGGCCAGACCCAGGCAAGCCAGGGCCTCATGTGGCCCTCAAGCCTGAAGTTCCCCATCCCTGCTTTATACAGAGAAAATCAAAGATCAAATAAATCCTGGTGTAATTCCACTGGTTTCCATAGAATTTGAATAATAATTCTGAGGTGCGAATTGTTTTATTAATCTCAATGGTTATTAAATCTGAAGACTAACTATAATTAGTTAAAACAAAAAACAGGACTATGTAGCACTTTAAAGACTAACAAGATGGTTTATTAGGTGATGAGCTTTCGTGGGCCAGACCCACTTCCTCAGATCAAATTGTGGAAGAAAATAGGCATGACCATGGTGCTTTATAGTGTCAGGATAAACTTGTTTGATTAGAAGGAAGCCTAGGAAATCCAAAATGTAAATATTTATTGGACAGGTTCAGTATTTTATTTCCCTTAATCTTATTTCAAAGAGAAAAGTATGTGAAGGAATGAAGTATACACTAAACTTGTTTAATTAGGTAGGAGTTTAAATTACGTGGAATGTGAATTCCAATAACGAGAGATGTAAGTTTAAAGATTAATTTCTTGTATTACCTAAGTTAGTCATAAGAGCATTGGGAATTTTTTTTTAACATTTATTTATGAATAACTCAGTATCTTGTGCATGTTATATGTAAATATGGATGTTCATGCTACATCAAAGAGTCTTTTAAAGTCAGTTCCTCAAAATACAGATTACTATAAAATATTTCGTATAGTTGCTCTACATCTACAAGCTTAAAATAAATTAAGTACACCTGAAGGTAGATTCTCTCCATCTCTTTTTAATTGAAGAATAGCTATATTCAAATTTTACCTCTTTGTAGTTTGACTAATGATTTCTTCTGTTAAAACTTTATAAGTTGACAGATGTTCTAATAGGTGAAGATTGGTTTGTAGAAAAATCACTTGTTCATAGTTCAGGTTGATTTGCCTCATTAATAGTTCAATTTATTAGTTCTAGGATGCTAACAATAAAAGAAGAAAAAAAACTTAAGAGAAAACGAGTAAAAGAAGAAGCACTGAAATCTGCAAAAGATAGTGTGGAAGAAAATAAAAGGGAAAATAATGCATCTAAGTATGATAATCATACAGGTACGTGGAATTTAAAATATTTGTGTTGAAGAATACATTTGAATTCTGTTGTACTGCTGTACCAGCCTATGACTGCCAGCCCCTATGATTGGGCTGCCTGTTCCTGCCCCCAGTTCCTCCCAAGTCAGTTCACTCCTCAGCAAGCATTGTGCTAGTGATACTCAGTAGGCAAGGTTAACTCTATATCTAGCTAAAAAAAAGGAAGTCTCGGGGAAGTAGGATGTAAAATTCCAGTTGATCAGTTACACCTTAGGTTTAACCAATTAACTGATAAAGTAGAATACTACTCCCCTTCCTCCAACATGATGGGCTGCTGTTGCTGCCCCCCCCAAAGGGGACTGGCGGCTTCTGCACCCAACTTCCCCATGCAGCATGGGGGCTCCTGCTCCCAGTACCCCGCATGTGTGAGTGTCTGGCTCCTGCTCCCTCCCTTCCTGCGGTTACAATGATGCTTACTGGTTAACTGGTTATCTGTTCACATACCTACAGGGAACCCAGCCACCCTCTCAACTACATTCTGCTTGCAGGAATTAGATTTGCTTTCCCAGCCCCCTTCTAGCTGCAGGCACTATAGCTTGAATGGCTGGTACTGCTGTTGCTAACAAAATGCATCTGAGTAATCTAGAAGGCAGAAGTTACTAAGTGAGCTCCAGTGCCCCCCACTTTCAGCAGGGGAGGGGCCAGTACTATCAGGAAAGGGCGTTCACAGCCAACTTGGAGCTGGAAAAGTCTGAGAATCACTTTCCCTCCCTCTCTCCCTGCTGCAGCAGCCCAGCTGGAGCTGGGCCACACTGGTTATGTCTAGACTACATGGCTCCGTCAATGGATTTAAATAATCCCCGCTTCATTAAATAAAAATGGCCACCAAGCTGTGCCGACAATCAGCTGATCCGGCAGAGCGCGGCAGTTTAGACGTGGATCGGTCGACAAGGGAAAGCCTTTGTTGACCGCTCCTGTAAACCTCGTTTCACGGGGCATAAGGGAGCAGTCGACAAAGGCTTCCCTTGTTAACCAATCCACGTCTAGACTGGCCCCTGCCGCGCTGTGCCGGATCAGCTGATTGTCGGCACAGCGCGGTGGCCATTTTTATTTTAATGAAGTGGGGATTATATAAATCCCCTCTTCATTGACTATGTCGGGTAAACTACTTTACGTGGGTCCGTTGACGGAGCCATGTAGTCTAGACATACCCAGTGAGGCCAGGTCTACACTAGACCTGGAAGGTTGGCTTGCAGCTTGATTTATCTTAAGCTGAGCTTGGTGGCATCTTCATAATGGAAGGTCATCGGGAGCAGGAGTATAGATGCTGGCTGTAGATGCCTTCAGCATTTGATTTACAGGACTATACTAGACCTGCTAAATCGAATGCCACAACATCAATATCTAGCATGGAGAGCGAGAATGTGCTCTGAGAATTACTCTCCCTGCCATAGCAGCCCATCTGGCTGTGGGCCAGCATGGGGCTGCAGAGAGGTGGCCCCTGGGGAAAGTCATGTCTCTCACCAGCTGTCACATGCAGCCCAGCTAAGACTGGGAGTCCTGTGCCATCCTGAACTAAGTTTCTCCACCCACCTCCTATTTCTACTCACCTATCACTACCATCCTCTCTCCAAGGTCCAAGAGGCACCTAATTAGTAGGGTTGCATCTGCAGAGGTCTATTAATTAGTTGTGTGGCCCTTGATTCTCTCATACATGGCCATGCTGGTGTGCACCTTAGAGGGAACTATTGCATAAAAAAGCCTCCGCCTGAGCTCACTAGATTTATATACATGGATTTTCTAAAGCTACACCAAACTGTAAGGTCTAAGATTTTAAACTGCAATTTATTATGATCCTTGTCAATCTTTGCAATCTGTGTAACTCTCAAACTTACTGTAAACTGCAACTTTGTAATCTTTGTAACATGCAGCCACCTTGCTTGTAACTTTCCCTAAGCTGCATTCTCCCCTGAGTGAGTGGAGAGAGAGTGTGAGTGTGTTTGAAGAAGGCTTGGAACAATGGACCACATGTCAATGAGTCATCACAGTCTGGGCATGCTCTCTGCTGGATAAAGGGAAGCCTGGGCATGCTCCCTGATGACAAGGTGAATGAGTCACAGGAGCCATTCTGACACTATATAAAGAGAAGGAGTACATGTGAGACGCTCTCTTTTTTCCTTCCACTGATCCTGAGAAGCTCCCTTCCAGTGTCTTTCCTCCTGACCAGCTTCCCCAGCCATGATAAGCAGACAGACCCTCCAGGATCCACATGCCTTGGCTCCTTCTGCAACCCATATATCTGTGTAAGTGTGTGATTGCCTGAGGGCAGGAATGAATGGGTGTGATTGAGTGAATGAATAGAGGGGTGTTTGCTTGCGTGCGTGCGTGCGATATATATCTTCTTTAGCTTAAACCTTTGGTGGATGCTTTCTCCTCTTTAGTTTTACCTAGTGGAAATAAACCCATACTAGTGTAACCCTGGATGGTCTCTAGTGAGAATATTTTTGGGGTAACAGGAACTATGATGGCAGCCATAACATTTGTGGAATGACACTCAAGACTACATATGCAGTTGCCTACAGGGCTAGTTACACCTGGTATATATACCCAGCAAATACAACCTACACAAATGACTCACAGTAGTACTATCAGCAGGTAGCTAATGGTTTGAATGGTGGTCTAGTGAGGCAATTCAGAACCAAGTTTGAAGTCCCATGCTGTAGCAGGATGATAAACTAATGCGGAGTTCTGAGGGGATCTCAGATTTAAGGAAGCTTTTAGTCTATTGATTTCAATCACAACAAAATACAAAATGTACAGTGCTCACTCCATTTGTATTTTTATTACAGCTATTTACACTGTAAAAACTAAAGAAATAGTATTTTCAGTTTACCTAATATAAGTATTACAGTGCAATCTCTATTGTGAAAGTTAACTTCATTAAAAAAAAATGTAAAACTTAAGGGTCTATAAGACCACTCATTCCTATTTCTTGGTCAGCCAATTACTAAGAAAAATAAGTTTGTTTACATTTGCAGAAGGTAATGCTGGTCACACCCCTTTTACAGCGTCACCTGAAAGTGAGAACAGGTGTTTGCAAGACACTGTTGTTGCCAGTGTCACAAGTTATTTACATGCCAGATGTGCTAAAGATTCATATGTCCATTCATGCTCTAGTCACCATTCCAGAGGACTTGTCCAGAGGACTTGCATCCATGCTGATGATGAGGTTTGCTTTATAATCATCAAAAGCAGAGTGGCCTGATATATGTTACATGCCAACCAGGAGAAGATTAATTTGTTTTTTGGTGGTTTGGGTTCTGTAGTTTCTGCATCAGAGTGTTGCTCTTTAAAGACTTCTGAAAGAAAATTCCACACTTCCTCCCTCTCAGATTTTGGAGGGCACTTCAGATGCTTGAATCTTGGGTTTTGTATTCTAGCTTTGTTGAGAAATCTTACGTTGGTACCTTGTTTGCATGTTGTCAAATCTGCAGTGAAAGTGTTCTTATAATGAATAACATGTGCTAGGTCATCATCCAAGGCTGCTATGAAATATGTCACAATGCGAATAAAACAGAGGAGACACTGTTCTCCCCAAGAACATCAGTAACAAATTATTTAACACATTTTTAAACTGGCCTCAGCATGGAAGCATGTCCCATGGAATAGTGGTTGAAGCATGAAAAATATTTAGCATATCTGGCATGTAAATACCTTGCAGTGTTACCAGCACAAATTTCTTTATCCCTTCTACACTGTAGGGATGCACACCTTTACCCAGTTCCTAGGGCTAAAGGTGCAACCCTGTAAATTTACACACCCACCCTTACCCAATTCCTAGGGCTCAGGGTGTAACAACAACCTGCGGGTTGGCAGGATCTTTAGCCACTTGAAAGAGCCTCACACAGTAATGTTCTTATCCTCTATTTATTGACAATTCTCAAACAAGCAGAATGCACATGCTAAGCACACAGTGTCATGCTCACCAATCCTGATACCGGCAGGCAGGAAGACTTCCCCTGTTGGCCAGGCAATATCAGTCTCTCTGGTCTTAGGCTGTCTCTCAGAGTGAGTTCTTCTTTTCCAAGTCTTCTCCTTCCTCCTAGTCCTCTTCTAGCCTTTTCTTCCTTCTGTTACTCCTGATGATCTTCCTCTCCTTTTCCTTCTTGAACCCCAGTTTATATAATGAAGCCTGAGTCTTGCTTAGCTATACCGTAACCAATTATTTTAGTATAATTTTACTAACCAATCATAACAAAATTATCTAACCAATCATACCCCACCACCTTAATTGATTTACACCTAGGAAAATTAATTATACAGCAGACAGAAACAGTTACAAACCAGACAGAGATCACACAGTCAAACAATAGGAAAGTGTAGTGACAATGCTCATAGGATGAGGATTCCACAACATCCTCTATTGATAAGCAGTTTCTTACCAGACAGAATGGTGTTACGCACAAATTTCTTTACCCATCTTGAGATCTGTTTCTTTATCTGGTGACAGTGAGGGAGCTATCAGGGCAAAGTCCCTCCTTGCAACCTGGTGTGACACTTTGTAATACAATTTATATGGAACTGTGAGTATGTGACTCCAGGCCTTACAGTAATGACTGCTACTCTTCAGTCTGGCTGCAGAAGGCAGCTTTGGTTCAGGCCTAGCACAGGCCTTCCAACATGGCGACAGAAAAGCCATATTGTTACAGTGTGGGCTACAAAAGTTTCACGGGCCTGTTCTCACTTTGAGGTGACATTGTAAATAAGAAGTGGGCAGCTTTATCTCCAATAAATGTAAACAAACTTGTTTTTCTTAGCAACTGGCCAAACAAGAACTAAGTGGACTTGTTGTCTCTAAAGTTTACATTGCTTTGGTTTTGAGTGCAGTTATGTAAGAAAAAAAAAATCCATATATTTAAGTTGTCTTTTCATAATACAGATTGAACTACAGTACTTGCATGAGATCAAAAGAAATAGTATTTTTCAGTTATTTATCATTTTACAGTGCAAATATTTGTAATAATAAAAATAATAAAATAAAGTAATTTCTGTACACTTTGTACTCTGTGTAGTATCTGAAATAAGTATATTTGAAAATGTAGAAAACATCTAAAATATTTAATAAATTTCATTTGGTATTCTTTTGTTTAACCATGCAATTAAAACTTGTGATTAATCAAAATTAATTTTTTAATCACAAGAGTTATCTGTGATTACTCAACAGCTTTAATATCCTTAAAACATAATATTCAGAAGCATGTATCCACATTGGTCTACATCCAGCTAGACAATAAGGGGTACATATGCATTCCATGTGTTGATAATTAGAAGCTAAATTTAACTTAATGGTAATTAAAATTCTCACTCATATTCATTGATAGTGTTGTTTTCTCCTTTTGTAAATCAGTTTTTAATACATATAAAATTCAATTATCAGTATGAGAAATTATTTTAAAATTCTGTTAATCTATAGCAAGTATAAGTAGCACTTCTTGTACTTAAATTTGAATTCCAGTTCACACGATAAAAGGCATTTAAAAATAATGTAGTAAAGTTTATTTGAATTTTGGGGTTGCACCTGTACTAAACTGACGCACAATCTTGCTTTATTTGTTATAGATCATGTTCAGAGACACTTATTTGCTAGTGATAGAGTCCTACAGCATATTTTGCAGAATGTTGAACAGATAAGAACTGGTGTACATGACACTTCCAGACTTCTCAGCGAACTGCTTTCTTGGTGGGTAATAAGTGAGGAGGATTACAGAATGTGTTCCTCAAGTAGCAGCACATCAAATGAAGTGATGGAGCAGCTCATAAATCATTTAATTCAGAAGAAGAATAGAGTAAAGACAAGAATTTTTGTTCATGTGCTGAGTGAACTTGAAGAAGTGGATCCCAAATTACATGAGTGGATAAAAGATCTTAACAGTTTTGGTAGGTCATATTTTATTTAACTATAAGATGACTTAATTTACATATGAAATTACACAATTAAGCAAACTTTCCACCTTGCTTTTTTTTCCATTTACTAGAAAGTTACTAGTATGCTATCATGAGGTTTCATGTTGTCTCTGTTATCACATTAAATTTGTTCAGTTTATAAATTAAAAGATGGCTAAAAGGTCCCTAGCAGCCAGGTCTGTATTCTCAACTGGGGATTGTAAAATCAGGCTTTGTTCTTTCTGACTTGTGGTATAATCCTTAATCATTGTGGCAAGGTCCTCACTTAGGCCGCTCACCCTGGGACACCTTCGTTGTCCACAAATCAGCTAGAGGCCCTTTCTGGTGCAGTCACTTGTGCCTTTTATTGTCAGTACCAATTTCCCCACCACCTTCTATTTACAAAGCTTTGGTTTTCTAGCAGCTAACTCAGTCAGCCTCTCCTTCTGGTTTGGGAGCACACTCAGCCACACCCTGACTCCTCCCTATTTCACTTCGCCTCCTGCTGCTTTATTATAGCCCTCTGGCTAATGAAGCCCACAGCTGCTTCTGTTAACTCTTTAGGCCTGGGTTTGGTCAGCTGGCTGTAATAGGCCTTTTGAACCAGACTGTAGTGGCAGAGCTCTGGTTTAGCCAGCAGTCTGTCACATAATATATTCTGCAGCAAAAATTCTGCCTTCAGTTACACCTGGGAAACCCTACTTGGCTCTTCAGAGCTGTTGAAAACAGTAAAAGAACCTATCACAGAAGTGGCCAGAGGTGGTGTTTATACAAACAAGAGACATCTGAGTAGTAAGGTGGCATTTTAAGTAGCAATTCCAGAATAGAATTGCTCTTTTTCAGTATTGCATTTCAAAGAACTGAATATTGTTCTGTCAATAGCTAATTAAGTCCTAAAATGAAGGTGGGAGTAAATAACACAAATTAATTTAACTATTGGTCTCTTTGCAGCTGAATTGTATGGCACTTTGCCAGTAGGAAAAAATCAGATGTGGAGAATCTGTTTCTTAAAATCCAAGAAGGAGAAAATAGTTTATAAAATAGGGATGATCTAAACATTTTATACAAAGTAACCAATTTATTTATTGTCTTGACCTTACAAATTGAAATGATAATCTTCTGTCTATAGATTGAATAAATCATCTTTTAATTTTTTTGGTGAAGTTGCCCAGCTATAGAGCTTTTTTTGGCTTCTTATTTGATTACAATATTGGGTGTATGTTACAAGTACAATTGAGTAAGACATGTAGCATATGCAAGAATTAGCTAAAATTAGTTTTTTAAAATTACATGTACCGTACTTTTAAATTGATGGTACTGTAGTGTAAAAATAGTTCTGATGGTTTGCATTTTTCAGGGCTACAGTAAAGACCAGTTTTGGCAACTTTATATCTGGTTTTGGAGCAAACTGTTCTTCTGTAGGAGATCTTCAGCATTCAGCCCTAAACTGGAATGACCAAAGTCCTGAATTGAATTCATTAACAGATTCTAACTTTTTTCATTTCAGGTTTGGATGCCACAAAGATCTTTTTCTCTCGTTATGGAGATTTTGTTAAAGAGCTTGACCTGAGGTTTATAACCATTCTGTGGAATGAGAAGTATGGCAGTAAATTTGGCAATGTGTTGACCAGCTATGAAGATAATGAAATTCTTAACTGTTTCTATGAAGCATCACTGAATGAAACTCGTTGTGTAATATGGCTATTAGAGGATAATAGAGAGAATTTTCCATCTTTGCATCAAGCATTAGATGAATTCTTTGATAAAATGGGTAAATGTATACAGTGTATCTATTCTATTAATGCCCTCTTACGCTTGCTTTTACTCTCCATCTATGTTATTGGGGAGTATTCTATGAAAACCTTCAGTAAATTGCATATTAGATCTTCTAAATTCCATATTGAAAACTGAACAGAGTCTGCAAAGGCAGGAGCATATAAAAAAGGATGCAGCTACTACAGTTCAGATTTATTTAAATAAAATGAAACTAATAATTAGCATCATGTATGTTGTAATATTGTCCTGTTGTAGCTTTACATGATGAACACATATTTTGAAGGGATTACTTTGATTCCTGGTAAATATGATTAAAATTTTAGGTTATGCATATAAAAAGTTTTACCCGTGTATTTAAAAAATTGGAAATAGAGCATACAGCAGGTGTTACATTGATTTGTTGAGAAGGTGGATTTTGTATTTACAGCAGATATCTTAAAGGAATTCATAGAGTTCTGTCTTCAGAATAAAAGTGTTTTAATTTGGAGAAGTTTAACTTTAGCGTACATGGAAATACTAAGCCTTTGTCAAGTCTGTGTGACAATGAAAGATACTATGTTCCACTTTTAAATCTCAATCCTACAAGGATGTATGCATATGTTTATTCTTAAGCATATTAATAGTTCCAGTAAAATCAGTACTTATAACTGTAA